TGGTCGTGGCTCGTAATAAATTTTTAATTTTGCTTAATTGAAAATGGCCCCGCCTTGGGAAGAGCACGTAGAAAAAATATTGATTTCACCAAGGAATTCATATATTGTCTTTATAGGAAAAAACTTAGTAAATTTACTTACTACATTTTGAGTAGTATGGTAACAATTATGAATTCTGTATCTTTAATGGGTGATTCTTAATTTGTAGGCAAAAGTTTGAAGCAAATATAGGTTTTTCCGAAATCAGTTCTATAACTCAAATATCAATTTAACTATAATATTTTAAGGTATAAAATCTTTACAGGAATAAAAAACTTTAGAGCAATCCCAAATTTTTCCCTGTGCCTCAACAAAGAAACTGCGAATGAGAAATAAATAAAATATCGCCTGCTGCTCGAACCCGAGGGGAATTATTATTGATAAAGAAGCAGTGCAGTTCCCATTCCCTCATTAGCTGACGGGTCGAGAGGAGATGCTTCTTAAGCTCCCATTGTCTGGCGGACGCACGTGCTCCGGGTGATTCTCCGGGGGATCTCCCGGCTGCCACTGGGAACTGGGAACCTCGGGCTGTCGACTGGGAATGGGACACGTTCAGCCGTCGCCCCGACCACTTGAGAACTCCACTCGAGTGCGGGGGCAAGGTGCTAAAAGCTGTTCACATATTTATATAGCGGGCTGTACCATATATGGGCAAACATTTAGACAAACAACAGCATACTCAGTGGGGTTTTCTTCTGGGTCTGGGGTTGGGACAGGGGAGTCGGGTGACAGGGGAGGTGAGAATGGCTACTGGTGCTAAAAATGGGTCACATTCTTGTCGTTGCACGTTGCCCCATGAATGGCGTTCATTTTGTGGCGCCAAGGCGTTGCAAGCTGCTGGAAAAACAGACATCACAAAAGTAGCTCTCTCCGGAGTCCAAAGGCCCTCGGCAGAGGCTTCCCCCATACACTGAGAGAAACTAAGGGAAGAGCAACGTGGAATAGAGAAGAAATGGATCTAGAAAAAAGTCTTAGGCAATTACATTATTTTCCAAAGATTCCCAAGTTACAGGTATCTTTGATAGAATGAATCAAACATTATTATTTCTTAAATTTATAAATATAATTATTTTTTATAAGAAGTCAAAACTAAGTAAAAGTAACGAATGTATCTTAGCACTTTCTTTGAAACCTTTCTAAATCTGTAAAGCTGGAATGCCCATTTTCCCCAGTGCACCACTTATGGCCACCTCCTGCCCCGGCAGGCTCGTTAACACTTTTCCCAGCAGCTTATTTATTGCATATCAAGTGACACCTCAATCCCAGGCCAGATCTGCTGGGATCTGGAGAGAACAGGGCTAACTGCTGTGGGCCGATGTGAGCCGGTCCAAACTAAATGACGTCGTCAACGTCGCTTCAGAAATGTTTTGGCATAAATTAAACAAGGGCGGGCGCACTCCTGCATTGTCCAGCTGGAGGATGGAGCATGGAGCATGGGGTTTAGAGGATGAGGGGGATCCTAGTCCAGTACGGTCTGTTTGCCTTCCATTTTGTCACACATTGGGGCTCAAAGAGCAACGCCAATTTGTCTGAAATGTTTTGAATTCTAAGCGAGGACGAGGACGAGAATGGGCGATGATGGCCAGATCTTGATGGCACCGGCATGTGGATGTGATGAATGTGGGATGTTTTGGGATGCTGGGATGTGCCAGCTCTTTGTGTCGCCTGCCATATTTGCCCAGTGGAGCGTGGTCCTGGCTGAGTGTTGTATTGCAGGTGGATTCGATCCTGCTCCTCCCGCTCCGGGCTATTTGATTTTTCCATTTTCCCACTCCAAGTTCTACTCCCACTCCCCAGCGGGAGTCAATCAATTCGGATGTGGATGTGGATGTGGTGGCCTCCCCGGCTGAGGGCTCCGTGTGAATTATGTGGCGATAAACCTGGCCAGGATGGTGCAACTTGTTACCCATATTGTGTGGCAGCACCTGAAAGCGAAACACCTGCTGCAGATGCCACAGCGCTGGAAAGGCTCACACGTTGATCTTATCGCCGCTGCACTGCACACACCCAAAATGAAAGAGTTCGGCCCAAAAAAAAGGAAAAGATGCAGGAGAAAAGAGCCGAGGAACTCAGCCAGAAGAATCTCCGGCGGCACAGCAGGGGTTGTGAAAATAGGAGTGGCTCTAGAGCATCGGAAGAAATGGAGTCGGTATTTCTATTGGTTTGAACAGAATATTAGTTGTAATAGCTTTTAAAACAGAGAATCTGTATATGTATTCTTATGAAATACAATAGTTTATAAAGAAGTCTTAAAGTATGCAACAATATGGTGTTGTAAAATTTATATAGAATATTTCACCATATGATAAAGAAAAGAGCTTTACAAAGTGGTACTGAACACTCAATAAATATGTGATCAAGTATGGTTGATATAATGTGCAAAGTTTCTTAACTATCTGTAAGCTTTAAAAAACCAAAGAGTAAGGGTGGTATTTTACCAATCTTATAAAATTCATATTACTTTATTTGGTTACTATTGACTTTCCCCCGACTGTGGTGGGCTGCCGTGCTACGTAGCCTCTCCTGCAACTGCAACTGCGAGTGGCACACCGATCCAGGTCCGGGCTTATCTCACTGACCATGATGATGATGCTGCCTTGGCCTTGGGCGTCGTCTTCTGGCCCCCTTCTTCTGAGCCCCCACCCCTCTTGGGGTTTCTGTTTTTGTCGTCCATTCGTTGCCATTACCCCTAGCACCATTTATTTACATTCATTCCTTATTATTTCGTGTGCCTTCGGATCCGGGGTCTTGGGAGTTGGACGCTGGCAGTTGGCCGAGTCAAGGGCCGCGGCTCGCCTCATTGTCTGGCCACGATGCGATGGATGCTCATGGAACTGCCGAGGGAACTGCCCGCTAATTTCGCCTTTTCACAGATCCCCCTCCCTAGCACCTTCCTCCCTCACCCCCTTTCCGACTCCTCTGTCCACTGCAGCTCCTTTTGCATCCGAAGTTGCGATTTTGGGGCCCAGCTTGTGTGGGTTGCGGCTCAGGCGAATTCCTTCGCCTTAGTTTCAACGTCTTTAGCTGCTGGAGGAGTTCATTGCGGAGGGGGTATTTCGGGTGTATAAGCTGGACATTCAATACAATACGTTGGGAATGAATAATACTATTTAGTATTATTTAAATAAGCGAAAGATAATGTCCTGGATTCTTGTTGATAGGAAATAATCTTTACCCATTATATGTTTAAAGTACTAAGTATTAAAGGGTAACCCCAAGTCAACTCTATCTGGTATAACCCACCAGCAGAAACACTGAATCGACTAGTGGGAGGCTCATGAAAAATTGAGCAAGTGCCGCACTTGCAATTTCAACAGCTCATCTGCCGCTGTGCAAAACAATTTCTTGGCCCAGCAGCATTTTAGCCTTATTTTATTCTTCAGCCTCAACTTCAGGTTGAGCAGAATTGGAATAGTTCTGGACCTCAGTTCCCTGTTCATTTCCACTCTTCAAGTTTTTCAACTGGCAAGTGCTTAGATTTTAGTTTCCTTTCAATGCGAAAGAAAAACGAAAATGCCAATGAGAAAACAGCCACACTTTCCATTGTAGGAACAAGAAAATAATTGCACCTTGATTGTATTTTCAGGTGTAAATTATGCATGAATAAAGCTGGGCAAATGAAACTGAGCTGGAATGAAAGCCTGGGCGGAAAAGAAGTTAAGGGGCATTTTTGCGAGAGTTCCTGATTAGTTGGAGTTTTTGTTAAGCATTGGTTAAGGGACTCTTACTTTTCTGGGTTATTTTGCGAGTTCCTTTTTTGCACTCACAATTAGTTACTATTTACACATAAATACTCCTCTTAAAATTCAAAGAATAATACATCTACAAAATCATTGTCTTTTGGGTATAAAAATACTTTATTTTACCCATTAAAGAAATGGATTTTACTTAAATGCTTTTTATCTGATTAGGGAATTAATTCAAAAAGAGGCCATTTATCTTAAGCTCTCGTAAAAAGGTATAAGTTAGTCCTTTGCTTTTGATTTTCTTGACATGACTTCTGAATATTCTCCTCCGCATTACTTAATTGTGTTGTAAGTACTCCATTTCCTTCTTTTTCCCCTGTATTCGGTCTGACCAACTCGAAAATCGATTCAAATCAGTGGGAGTTCTGTCAACGACAAAAACCTTCAATCAAATTGGAGTATGCCAAAAATCCGAGCCATGCATCGGGCAATTCAATTACAAAGCCCAGTAGGAGATGAATGAATCTGTCTCCCTTCACCTAGTATTCCCCCATCCCCTTTTCACTTGTCATGTCAATGACCAGGTAGGAAGGACTCATCGCTCACCTGGCGACATGTCAATGGAAAGCCGGGGAAATGGGGCGGAGACAAAGTTCCGAAGATAAAGCTCTTGCCATGAATATGCAGCTGATGTGCACTTGCACCCAGAGAACCCGAACACATCGCCCAATGCCACCCGGCTTTCCCCCACATTCCCCCATTTCCCCACCCACTTTCCACCGCTTTAGCCTTAAGCTCCTGCTGCTACTCACTTTCCTCACAGACGACAGTCTTTTGCACTCGCCCATGCATTTTTCCATCGAGCAAAAACATTGAAAAGCGAGTCATAGATTTCCGTTTGTGCGCCTCGGAAACAATGGCATTTTCATGTTGCACGTAAAACGAGCCAAATAAACCCGGGTAAATTCTGTGGAGAGGGGCGGGGAGGGGAGGGGGTTCGGAACAGATAGCACTGGCACAATATAAACTTAAGTGCAATTCCATTTTTACCGATATTCCTGCCACTGGCGCCTTTTTAAGTGAAGTGAACCAAACACAAATCACACAAATCGCAGCGATAATAGCAAAAGAACCCAAAGTGCCCCGGGTTATTATGGTGGATAGGATAGTCGAAATAAAACCAGCTGATCGATGGGTGGACATTTCCGGTGCTGATTAGGTTAGGTAAGTGACCTTTGTCCAGGGTTAGTATAAAAAGCAGGGGAGTATTCTGGATAGGCACAGTTCAGCTGAAACACTCAATATGGTAAGTCAACCAAAAGAGAGTCTTTGGGAAGTACTTTATATTGGTGTTTCAATTTCTTTCTTAGTTTTCCCTGCGACTTCTGGTTCTCCTTGGTCTTCTACTGGCCACTCAGGGAAGAGTCTTGGATCGGCATAATACTCTTGAAATTGCACCTTCAGCTGAAGGAACTAAGACCGTAGAGGTCAAGCAGGAAGTGGCCAACGGAAACCAGGAAACTCAAACTAAATTGACTAGCTCTTCCAATCCTCAAGAGCTTCCGACAAACCCGACTTCTGAAGCTATTGAGCCCGTTGAATTGAAAGTTACCAATGAAAACCAGGCAACACAACCTCAGGAGGTCAACTCCATCAATGCCCAAGTTGTCCAGGAAAGCCAGGGTCTCTCCGATGTCATTAATCCCACAGAGGTTGTAACAGAAGTCATCAAAGGAAGTCAAGAAAACCTACCTATTTCCAATGAAATACCTAAGGATCAGGAACTGCCCAAGTCAGATGTGAGCACTCAAAACCTTTCTAATGTCCAGGAAAGCCAGGTTCCCTCTGATGCCATTAAGTCCATAGAGGTTGTACCAGAAGTCACCAAAGAAAGTCTAGAAATCCAACCCATTTCCAATGAGATACCTAAGGATCAGGAACTGCCCAAGTCCGATGTGAGCACTCAAAACCTTCCAAATGTCCAGGAAAGACAACCCCAGCTGGTAAACGCCAAGGTAGATCCTTCTGATGACATCAAAACCGTAGAAGTTTCACCAAAAGTCACCAAAGAAAACCAGGAAGTCCAAGTGCAAGAAGCCCAACCCAATTCCAATGAGATACCCAAGGATCAGAGACTGCCTCAAAAAGAAGTAGTCCCTGCTCAAACCCTCCCCAATATTCAGGGTCGCTCTGTTCAAGACCTGGACAAGATCTTCAAGTACCCGGAAGTTCAATTGATTAACGGATCCTCATCCTCTTCCAACCAGTATCAGAACCTCTACAACAAATACCAATTCTATCCAAAGGTGGAAATCATTTCCGTGGTGAACACCACGACAACGGATGCCATTTCCAACCAGAAGAAGACCGGATTTCCCTTTCCCTTCCTGCCCAATCCCATCGAGAAACTGGATCAGCAGCAACCCATCTTTATTAATCTGAATCAGACTGCCAACTCCACAGGCAATGTGACCTACCACACACACATCCCCGAGGAGACCAAGCTATTGCCCTTCCTGCCCAATCCCTTAACGGACTTCCCCAAGGTTGTGGGTCTCAGCTTGGTGCTCCTTCCGAATCCCTTCTATGTAAACAAGTCTCAGAGCCAGAACCTGACTGGATCGCAGGATAATGTGGCATACGAGTACCTTACAAAGTTCCGAGCCTTTTCGGAAAAAACCCAAAAGGAGCAGAAACAGCGGCAGCAGCAATCTCAGAAGCCCAATTTCTACCTGATCCCCAATCCTCTGGCCAATCAGGTTTCCAAAGATGGTAAAAAGGGCGATGCCAATGCCGTGCTACCCGTGAACCTGGCTGCTCTGCCTCTTTTGGTTCCCGCTCCGGAAGTGTTCCAAGGCAAGGCTTCTTCGGGCAGCGTCAGTTTCCAGGATCTGATCAAGGCCACCAATGTGCAGGTGAGCCAGCCTCTTCAGCTTCAGGCCAACAACGGTCTCAGCCAAATTCAGAAGGACCGGGCTGCCATCCAGCAGCTGATCCTCAGCCATCTCAGCGAGCAGCAGAAACTGTTCCAGCAATCTTTGGGAAGCGGAAAGAGCTCCCATTCGGCTGGACCGGTTGGAGTCGTCCAGGAGGAGGAGGAGAGCTCTGTTCTGTTCGCTGTGGAGATCCCGAAGCCCATCTACCGCTTCTTCAAGGGCATCTTTGGGGGTTTCTCCAAGTGAGAAGCCAGAAGAAGATCAGCCCGACCGAAATAACAATCAATAGCTAAGGAAAAACTAGTATAGAGCACTTATTAATATTCATAAATATTCATTAAATAAAGTAAATTGCATACCCACTTTATAAGAAATTCTTCTTTGTATGGTTCTATGTAATGCCATTTAAGATGGTCTATTTAAAGCATTTTATTTAATACCCCACCAACAAATTTCACCCAAAGCTCAAATTTACCAAATCTCAACTAGTTTTCTCCCCAGAGCCGCACAACAAACACAAAATTGCAATCTACTCCCCCCACACATTAACAGACTTTCCCAGCTTAATTCAAAGAAAACTCGTGCAAATATGATAAATGTGTGTATTTAGCAATCATTACGCGGGCATTCCATTCACGTTGGGAGTTGGGCGGAGGAAGAGCTCACACACTCGTCATTCCACATTAGGTTATCAGGCAGAGGTAGATATAATCAAAATGTGAGAACAGATCCGCAGGCACACACAAAAACGGGGGCCATTATGGGGAATACTTATATATGTATTCCAACGAATTGCATTCATGACTGCTCACCTTTGCCAACCCTTCGGCTGCAGCATTTTCATTTCGTTGCCAGTTGGAGTCGAAGGATGCCCAGGATGCAGATGCTCGGCACAGACATTCATACCCGGGCACTTGCATCCCTCCATCCCTCTGCCGTTTGCCATTTTAATGAATACATAATTAGTCTTTTTGCCAAGCTCTCTCAATCCACCCACTTCCACATCCAAATCGTCCTCTCACTCGTACTCCTCTTCATGGCTTCTTTTGCTGATGCCACTGCAGCACCTGTTCAAATCATTTCTCATCTGAACTTAATGTCCATGCAGCAACACGTTCTAAATGCACTCAAACCAATTTTATATTCCATTATTAATTAAAAACTTAATTTTATTTTTTATGATTTTTTAAAATTTCAATAAAGTTGAAAGATTTTTTTTAGCACAAATACTCATACACAATACTCAAATACTACTTATTTCAAAAGAATTTAGATCTTTAGTGTTTTTTTTTGGCCATGAAAAGTTTTCTTTTTTAATAAAGGTGTCTAAAAGTATGCACCAATAAAGTTTTTATAAGGTTAACTCATGGATTCCTTTAGTTAAAGGACGGTTTTTTCGTTCTGCCTTCTTTTAGACATCTTTATAAGTCATTTCTTATACTCGTAAAGACGAGTGTTGGTTCAAAAAAGTGATTAAAAATCAGATCAAGCTCAATATCTTTTCAAGACATATCCTAACTGTTTTAAATCCACTTCTCACAGTGCATCCTGCATGTGTAGTTCATTGGTTCATTTCATACTTTCATGCAATATGGAGATAATGTTTGCTCCTGTCCAGGTCCATCGTACAAAGCGAGAGCGAGAGGGCGGATAATGGGGGACAGAGATGGCAGCACATAATTGCCAGGATTACGCTGGCTCATAAACTTTTCCCGGGCATTTGCAACTGTGTTTGCATTTCTTTTCAATACCGGTGGATTCGCCAATGTTTTTGCGGGGCATGGGGAAAGGGAAGGAAATTGCTGTTTGCTGATATCGTTTATTTAATATTTAATTGAATCCAGGCTGAGTCGATTTTTTCCATTAACAAACCCAGTTAAACCCACGACCCGTTCCACTTTCCCATCTGCGATAGTGGACAATGGGAGTCCTTTGCGGGATATTAGTCCCGGCTTATCGGTTCATTTGGGTGCGCAAAATTGCAGATGAAATTTTCGAAAATACCTGAACCAAACCGCAGGGTATTCGAATAAATTCCCAGCGATTGGTATCTGTGTTAGCGGGTTTTGTACGTGCCACAGACCGCAAAAGCCACTGAATCATCCTACTTTTAAACATTTATTATGCAATATCCGAGCAGCGGCCACTTTAAACCGAACATAGAGGGATTGAAAATAAAACCAAATTAATAACTTCTAGTTAAAGTTGTAAGCCGCATCCTTTGCAGCGGCCTTTTGGGGCCCGAGTTTATTACTCAAAGGAATTGGTCGGGCCCAAAGTAGCAGCGGATGCCCATAAATATATCATGAAATCAAAAACTTTGCCACAACTTCTACTTCTGGTTGGCTGCCGCTTCTTTTTGATTGGTGGCAAGACCCCCTCCTCCAACACTTACACTGGGAAAAGTGGATATCCTTAATATTTAGCATGCGCTTTAATTATTCAATTGAAATGTATCAAATATTTTGAAGAAATCTTATAAATATTCTGATATCCTGATAAAATCTTAAAAGATAACAACGTTTTAACATTTATTTATTGCATTTATGTTCTAAAAAGATCATTTAAAAAAGCACTGAAGGAAAAACGATGGTATTGTTTAATCCTTGAAATAGCATGTGACTTTGGGTTTCCTATATTATCATCTTCAGTTTGATTTTTATAAAGTTTGAATGAGCAGGGTTTCAGGATAACATTTCGCGATGTTATGTTACAAATATTTTGTATATAATGTATTTGTATAAGTATGTTTTCCTCTGTGCACCACCCATTTGACCTCCCTAAACTTGCGTGTAAACGTGTGGGGCAAAGTGCTGGCCACACGGACAACAAAAAGAGCAGGAGCAGAAGCTGGAACAGGAGCAGGAGCAGTCGATCAAAGGAGCAGAGTAATGCGTTTCCGTTTCCGGACCGGCTCCTTGCCTTCCAGATCCCCTCCTCCGCCTTTCCTCGGCTCCGTGTCCCTGCTGCCAGTCAATTCAATAAAACTTGTGTCCATTTCATTTAAAATTCTCTGTTCTATCTCTGCGCTCCCGACTGCTTCTGCTCCAGCTTCTCGCAAATTAATGGTGTTAAAATTAGTGCCTCAGACGGAGTGGCTGCCCGCATCCTTGCCACCGAGCTGGAACTTTGCCTCCTGCCACCGGCCACCTGCCCCTTCCACCTGACACCCTCTCCTATTTATTTAGTTGTCACTCTGTGGAAATTATGCCGCCTAGTCGGGCTGCTTTTGCTCCTGCGACACGTGTAACTGGATCTTGGTCCTTTTTCCCCCTGTTCGAAACTTTTCCACCTTAAAGTTTATACTTTGGACCAACTTTTTTCTAACTTTTCCCCTTCACTCTCCTTTCTATTTTCAGGTGCGATTCAGATTCAGGAGCGTCGTTTTTTTGGCATCCTCCGGCCGGCGAAAAGAAAGGACGACGGTAAGTGGCCGGGTGTTGCAGGAATTAAGCCCCGAATGGAAAACCGAATATTTCCCTAATGAAACCAATTAAGCAAACAGCAAAATGGCCAAAAATTGTGGCCGGGAAAAGTGAAAAATCAAAGGCTAGACGATAGGTAAACAAGGCAGGGAAAGGGTGAAAGTGGTGAAAGGACGGCGAAAGGATTGCCTCAATTGTGAAATGAACACACAGGGAAAAGTCCGTCAATTGATGGGACTTTGCAATTTTAAATGTCCTGTGGCTGATTGCAAGTCTGCTTAAATCAGCTTGAAAGTGTAGGAATAAAAAGAGGAAAGTTACTTTAAAAATATAGATACTAAAAGGGTACCTGCCTTATAAAAATTGAACAAAAAATCTTGCTAGCAAGAACAATATTTTTATTAAATCAGGAATTTTAAATCAATTTAATTAAATTGTATACAAATAATAAACATGGCATAAAAATCCTGTTTTTTTTGCTGGTAAATGGAAATGTTCCACACTTGTACAAATACAGATTGAAGGTTTTTGCTGGCTGTGGAAAAGCCATTTGGCAAAATCAATACATTTATTTAGACCGCAGGCTGGAGAGTGAAAAGCAAATCAAATGCCGGCAAACGACACAAAATGTATTTAGCATTTGGAGGCATTTCCCAGAGCGGCCAAATATTGTAAAGGTAACTCAAATACCCAGTCCAGCTTGGTCCAGGTCGATTGCTCCATTCCAAATACAGGGAACCGGACTTGTCCTGGACCTCGATCCACTGCCTATTTGGTTTTGGCCAAATCGTTTTACGCTTTGTTGCCGCCAGCCATTCGCCCAGCCAGGATGCAAATATGTGCAGAGGCTTAACGTATCCAATAAAGCCAGTGTCCAAAAAGACGGACATGGAGGTGGCTGGGGATGAGGAGTATATATAGGTGGGGTTGGATGTAGAGATGGAGGGGCTAAAGCCCAGCCACTGATGGACAAAGCTCTGCGGACTCAGCTCGTCATCGGTGGACATAAGCAGCTCAGTGGCTCATACAGAGCAAAAAGGATTTTGGCATTAAATAGCTATACCTTTTAAATTGCCTGTCGTTCAAAGCTGTTTTCTGGGTTGATTAGAAAATTTATAATAGAAATGTATCACATTTCGTAGTTTATCAAGAGCTTAAACCATAAACAGAAAGGAAAAGATATGTATGAATTTTCAAGTTCTAAGTTGAAAAACTTGTCATGATACAATTTTTAAAAAACAACTTTCACCGACATTTTCTGAAATATTATAATTTATTTCGAATTTACAAGTTAATCACTTTAATTATTTATTCAGGGAGGCTTGTAGCTGTAGCTACAGGTAGTAGGTATTGGGTGTTTAGTATTTCTATCTTTCACATTTTATCCGCATTTGTCTTTTTTCACTACCAACATTTCTGTTAAATTCCAACATATAAAAATAGTTTTCATTAATTTTCTCACTCACTATGTAATCACATTATTTATTTAAAGGGGTTTAGTGAATCATGATTCATGGGTGCTTTTCGCTTCCACATTTTTCCCTTGTGCAGGGCTCAATGGCTCAATGATTAAGCCGCTCAGTTGATTCCGAGCCTTTACCACGTGTCCCGAGGATTAGATGAGGCTCAGGAACAACAACTTCATCTGTGGAAGGTGGAGTGGCGGAGTGGTGCGTGTGCGGCTTTAATTCGTTTCGCTGCAACAATGTTGCCATTGTGGTGCGATTTATATCGCGGGCCTTAAATGTCATTACCGGCTAAATGCCTTTAAATGGCCCCCATCCATTCGGGCTGACCAGTTGGTTTGGCGCCAGCAGCCGAAAGTGCGACCACCGACCACCCGTCGAGAGTCTTTATAGGATGTGGGGAATGGGATCCTCGGCGGATCGGGTTTTCCTCCTGGAGCGGGCAGACGCATTTATCATCCCGACCCGTGACGCGCTGTCGCCTTCAATTACAAGCAAATTATTCTGCGCTCAGCGAACGGCGGCACCTGTATTTACCTGTTTCGCATCCGAAAATGGGGATGGGATTGGGTAGGGGGGCATCTGCTCTGGGTTTATCTTTATTGGAGACAGCGCCATCTGCCGGGCAGGCGGCCAGTGATCCATCTGCCTTATGTCAAGCGCCGACCAGCCGATGCCAATCTGATGCTCCAGTTCGGATGGCTTGGTCTCCCTGGCAGCGATTAAATTGATTGATCAATGGGTGTTTGGGAAAGGCGGATTAGAGCCCATTTCAATGTGACTACTCCAAAGGCGATTAAAATGAATGGGACTTGAGATCTTTGAATCTCTAGAGATCGAGAGGTGTTCGAATTCCTTTTCCTGACTTATTTGGATGTGTACCACAAATTGAAAGCGATTTAGAGCTTATATTGTTCTAACAGATTGTGGTTTAACGATTTTCCGATTTTAAAATGGATTAAAATTTCCGGGTAAAATTCTTAAAACAACAATACTGAAAACAAGTTTATAAAAATCGATCATTTTTTTGGGTTTTTTCACCGTAATTTTGCTAAATAAAGAGCCTTAGCGAAAAGAATGACTGTTTCATCCAGCTAAAAAGCTAAGCTAACGATAAACAAAACTTTCGGGTAGATTTGAAACATTCTAAAATTTGACCCTTTTTTGAATTTTTTATAAGGGGTACATCACAAATTTTTGCGAAAAATGGTCAAAAATTAAAATTTTAAACTTTAAATGCCAATCGATTGGGAATTTTATTGCGAGTTCACCGAGGTATGACACTTCATAATCTGACTATTAAATTTCTAGTTTTGATCAAAATACTGATTTTTTAAGGCGAAAATGGGGGATAACGATTTTTTTCTAGACCAAGAAAGATCCTATCCGTTAAATCTGTAATTACAGATTAAATTAATTTTAAAATAATAAACCAAAACTGATCTCAGTATTTTTATAAGGCTTACTTGCATTTAAGGAGTAGTTTTATATATAGCTTTCTTAGGCCAATAAATTAAAGCAAGCAAAACTTGACTGGCCATCCCATTGGGATCTTTGAGTTGCCCATTTCCATTGACATTCCCATTCACTTTATTCAGCCATTGACACTCGTTTCTTTTAATTGTCCACTAAAATATGCCGCATGCCCGAGTCGAGAGCTATGCAAATACTTCAAGTTTTCTTCAAGTGCGCGACTGCGAGAAGCCAAAGACTTTGCCTCTGGACCCCAATGGAACACCAGCAGAACCCCAGTAAAACCCCAGCGAAACCCCAGCAATCCCCACCAAATCCCACCCAATCCTCGCCAGCCCCCTGATTTCTAATTAAACAATACAAATGCGAATTGGTAGCCAAAAGACAAAGACACAAATTCCGGGGGCTTGGAATTTTGGCGGTGTTGAGAGCCTCAAGCTTCGTCAGCAAATTCGCAGTGCAAATGTGGAGAGGGGATCTCCGTCGCTGCCTGGAATTTTATAATTAATCGGTGGGGTTTTCGCGCACACGTCTCTCTTTATTCACAACCAGCCATCCCTTAGGTCTACAAACTCGTCCAGCTCCTCGGCGTAATCCTCGCCAGCTCCGTCGCCCTCGCCGTGTCGCGAGTAGTGATTGAAATTCATGTCCCTGGCCGCCGGAATCACCTTCCCGCTCTCGCATCCGTGCATGTCCTCGTACGTGATTTCGCCGCCGTGGCCCATTCCTCCCAAGTCGTAGCTGCCATGGCCACCACCTCCTCCTTTCCCAATACCACCTCCATGTGTGGAGAAGCCGAGTACTTTGTACACTGTTTGCTTCACACCTCCTCCTCCGCCGCCGCCGCCATGGGATCCATGGAGCACCTTGTAGACCGTGTGGGTGTGGTGGTGCGTCTTCACCTTGACCGGCACGTGGATGATGAGGCGCCGGTGGCCCAGACGACGAGCCTGGATTCCCGTCGCCATCAGCAAGAGCATTATGGCCAGAAAATGAGCTGCCATCGATGGACTTCGTGATGACAACTGGTTTGGGGGGTGTCAAATAAGATAATGTGGTTAGGGGTTCTGTTCTGTTGGCTCTAGAATTAAGCATCTTTAAAAAAAGCACCCTTTTATTCAGGAACCACTAAGAATCAGGTGCAGATTTCGCAAAATTAAGTACTTTGTCGTATCATTTCCATTAGGAATCGAACATCAAAACAGGTTACTCATCATTATCAAAGTATTTTTGGATTTAAAGATATACATACATCGTTATTTTTGTTTAACTGTTAAATGTGCTTTGGTTTGAAGAAAGGTCTTGAATTTCCATTTTTAAACCACTTTTATTAAATGCATTTTTTGTGGCAAAAAAATTCGTAAGTTGTGGCAAATTGCCTACGCAAATTGAGTTTTAATAGCGTCCATTTAATATTTTTCTCATTTTTAGAGAGCAATTAAACATTTTCATTATGGTAGTTCAAAACTTTAGTTTTTTTTTAATTTTTCATGCGAATTTTAAACTGATTTTATTTAATAGAAACATTTTTTATCGATCTGCTTTAAGTTGACTCACTTCGGTCATTGCGGTGATGTAGATGGACGTTTATATTCCTGCAGATTAAGCTGGTTAAGCAGGTCCTTTAATTAATCCTTTAGTTTGTCCACTGCCACCACCGAATCCGAGTGGCGCGCGTTCGCTTTCAACACTGTGTGGGCCGGCTGGAATCGATGGGCCTTTTATATGGATGCGGTAATCAGGTTCAGTGCACCATGGCCGCATGTGGCGTACTTACGAGGCTCGCCCGCATCCCCCCATCCACCTGGCCCACCCATCCATCATTATCTTCGGCGGCGGCGGTGTCGATTGCATTGCAGCCTCCACGGAGCCGCAACATTTGCATGTGCAGCACCACAGTCGCGTCCAGAGTTACGTGTGCCTAATTATTGCTTACAGCTTGTTGCTTGATGGAGCACTGAGAGAAACACTAAGCTCGGGATTCAGTTTTTCGCTTAAATAAAATTTGAAACCTCCTAAGGGGCAAAGACATTCCTAACCCCTTTTTTAAGAAACATGGTA